GTCAACAAGGTTAGAAAACACAGATGTTAGGGAGAGGGATGAGCAAGGGGCAGGATCAGCCAATTTGTCACAAAAGGTTTTTTGGAAGTCAGTTAGGAAGGGCTCCTTGGCAAGTATCTTAGAGGAGTTTATTCTGCATCCCAATGCCCAAAGGCTGGCTTAGCCTGAGGGCGGCTGAAGTCCCAATGGCTGGGGCAAGGAGGGAAAGTTGAATCAAGCTTCATTTAGTAAAATGAGCAGGCATTTTGCGCTGATTGGTGGGTAGGGACAAAGGGCTCAGCTAATCATCTATGAGACAAAAAAGGGAATGTGGATAGTCCTTGGAAGACCTTGTCATAGGTAAACAACGGAGTTCTCAAGTCTTATCTAAGCTCTTTGAGGAGAGGTGGTAGTTCTTTGCAGGAGTGGTGTGGAGGTGGGAGTTTCTTTAACCATTACCGTCTTCTGGGAGCACAGGGTTTAGGTCAAGGTCCATGTTAGGTCGCTTACTTGAGTTGTACTTTCAACCACAGTTTTATTATGATATTTTAAAAAGTGTATTGCAATTATATTGTCACCGTAACAGCTGTGTTTGTCAGCACTTCCCTCCATCTATAATATTAGCAGAATTGCTATTTACAACCATGAGCTCACTCCTTATAATGGTTATGTCTAAGGTACTCTGTTCAGCGATGCCGTGGGTCTGCAAAAGCAAAAGATGTTTTCTGGGAAGGCCAATAGCAGGTGCTTGAGGAGACCAGGAGGCAGGAGAAGGGAGAAGGGGCCTGCTCCTTGACATTTGCTTGCTGTGCCCGCCACTGTCACCAAGCAATGATTCTTTTCCCGGGCTGCAGCAGATGGTTCTGATTTCCAGTATTTAATCCACTTTCTTGGATCTAGCCTCAACACTTAACCTTCAGAAATACCACCACCAGTTGGGTACCCCCCCTTCCTTAGAGCCCCGAGTCCCAGCTTCGCAGGGGTCTTCTCCATGGCAGGCAGCTGTTAGCCATTTCCTGCCCTTGCTACCTTTCCGTTACTGCAATGTTTCCCTTCACACTTTTCAGCCTTCTGTTACCTGTTTAACCGACTCCTTCAATTCTCGGTAAAAATAACTGCTGGGATACCTGTTTTCTGACCAGCCTCTGATGGACACCATTAAATGTTCCAGAAACACCTTCTGAACTATGGGTATAGATTTATGATGGGTTTATGCTACTGTAGTCACTAAAAATAAATACATTTATGGGATACCCACAGTATGCAACTGACCAAAAAGATGTATTCTGAAAGTTAATTTATAAATCCATTGTTTGGGGGGCATGTGGGTGGCTTAGTCGCTTAAGTGTCCGACTTCGACTCAGGTCATGATCTCATGGTTCGTGAGTTCCAGTCCCACAGCAGGCTCTGTGCTGACAGCTAGGAGCCTGGTACCTGCTTTGGATTCTGTGTGTGTCTCTCTCTATGCCCCTCCCCCCCCCATGCTTTGTCTCTCTCTCTCTCTCTCTCTCTCTCTTTCTCAAAAACAAAATAAATGTTAAAAAATTTTTTTTAAATCCATTGTTTGGATCTTGGAAGTTAATTTTCCTATCAAAACAATACTACACATTAAACTTAGATGATCAAATCAACCCATTAATGCTCATAATGTACATGAAGTACAATATTGTATACATTATGTAAAGGAGGGGCTGAGAGAGAGGGAGACACAGAATCCAAAGCAGGCTCCAGGCTCTGAGCTGTCACATAGATCCTGACACGTGAGGCTCCAACTCCCCAACCATGAGATCATGACATGAGTCAAAGTCAATTGCTTAATAGACTGAGCCACCCAGGTGTCCCTAAAATGAGATATGTTAAATTCTTTTTTCTTTCATATTAAAGTTTCAGAATCTACTGTGCATTTTATTTTACCCTTATCACACACTTCAGTGCGCTCCAGACAATTCCAAGGGTCCAGTAACGACAAGAGCCTTGTGGCTACCACATTTGACAAGATAACTGATGACTTTACGCCAAAGAATAGAATTGCTGGGACATAAGATATGCACATTCTCGGGCACCTGGGTGGCTCAGTCGGTTGGGCGTCCGGCTTCGGCTCGGGTCATGATCTCACGGTTCGTGGGTTCGAGCCCCGCGGCGGGCTCTGTGCTGACAACTAGCTCAGAGCCTGGAGGCTGCTTTGGATTCTGTGTCTCCCTCTCTCTCTGGCCCTCCCCTGCTCACGCTGTCTCTATCTGTCTCTCAAAAATAAATATTTAAAAAATAAATAAATAAATAAATAAAAGATATGCACATTCTCTTTTCTTTTCTTTTTTAAGATATAAATGTTCAATGATAGGAGGAGATGACTCAAAAGCAAGCACATTTGATCACCCTTTATGAAATGAAAAAGAGTTATTCTTTCAGGCATATTAAGCGGTCAGTGTTGATGATTAAAAACAAACTTAAGGGGCACCTGGCTGGCTTGACTGGCGGAGCGTGCAACCCTTGATCTCAGGGCTGTGAGTTCAAGCCCACATTGGGTGTAGAGATTACTTAAAAATAAAATCTTAAAAAAAAACCCAAAACTTAAAATATCCTTGACGTAGACCCAGGAAAGAAAGAAAGAAAGAAAGAAAGAAAGAAAGAAAGAAAGAAAGAAAGAAAGAAAGAAAGAAAGAAAACTAACTGAGTGGGGGTGAAGGAAACATGTTTAGTTTAGTGGAAAGAAGTGACGGGCTTCACTTAGAACATCGAATTAATAAAATTTATTAATTTAATTTCATAATGCATGATCAGGGTTTTCACAGCGTAGTTGCCTTCTCAATGTCTTTCCTTAAGACCCTTAGTTTAAAAGGTCATCTGGGTTAGCAATACAGAGAGAAAACAAATTGCAATTACTTTGATTCTGATTCTGACCAAAATGCAAATTCGGCACAAGATATTTTGGGTTCCTACTTTGGTTTCCATGATAAAAAATGTAAACCACGGTCTAAAAGAAACTCGTGTGGGGGTGCCTGGGTGGTTCAGTCAGTTAAGTGTGCGACTCTTGATTTTGGCTCAGGTTCATGCTCTCACCCTTCATAAGCTAGAGCCCAGCACCAGGCTCCGTGCAGATGGTGTGGAGCCTGCTTGGGATGCTCTCTCTCCCTGTGCATACAGTCTCTCCTTCCAGCCCTGTGCATACAGTCTCTCTCTCAAAATAAATAAATAAACTTAAAAAAAAATAAAAAGAACCTGTGTGGCCCCCTTGTTCTTGGTCTTGCTCATAATGCATTGTAAGAAAGTTATTTTTTTTTATTTTTAGATTTGTTTATTAAATAAACTCTACCCTCGATGTGGGTATCAAACTTACCACCCCCAGGTCAAGAGTTGCATGCTCTACTGACTGAGGCAGGAAGGTGCCCCGGAAAATTCCTTTTTTAAATAAAATTAAAGCAATACGTTCCAAGATTGTCACTGGAGTAGGAATCTCCTTGGGGAAAACAAGATTCACCTTCTCCCAGGAATATCTCATTAGCTTCTCTGCCATTGCCACCACGGCTGGCCTGCATCGTGCTGCTTTACCCAGTAACCTTCCGGCACAAGGGTGGGAAGGGGACAGAAGAGTTCAGAGCAATCCTCCCAGAATATTCCACAGTCTAGAAGAGAAAGCCTGCATCTTCACAGAACAGGTGGGTTCATAAGAAATCAATGTGCTTTATGAGGTGTGGCTAATTTATGTTCCACTTAATAAGATCCTGCTCTGTGTGGACAGGTCTCAGCAAGCATTTTCCCCACTTTCCCTGGGGTATCTGACGTCCTCAAGTCTGAAGCCCAAAGCGGGTGAACTTCAGAGACTCAGTGGTTCAGTCTAGGCCAGCCTGGCTCTGCTCTCTGTTCAAGCTTCTCGCCTGAGCAAGGACCTTCCCTAAGAATGATGGACATCAAGCCAAGTGGCAGTTACAGGATCTGAGATTTGCCCCACGGCTCCGGCAGGACACCGCGGGTGGGGAAGTGAGTATGTACGGACTTCCTTCATTTACTTCAATATGTGTGTGTTGAATGAATAAATGATGTGGAGATGAGTAACGATCTGTTCTGCTCTCTGGGAGCTGAAGGTCGTATGCAAGGACACACAGCATTCCTCTTGTTACCGAGGCCACCATGCCAACTTTCCTAAGTGACACAAACCTATCTGTGTGCTATATAAGGGTGGAAAGACGTGTTTTCTACTTTTGCCCGGCACTGTGGATTGGTTCACAATTTAATTTTTGTCTTGGTTTTTATGTGAAAACACACATGAACGTAATGAGTTTTTAAATATTAAATTTAGGGGCGCCTGGGTGGCTTAGTCGGTTAAGCGTCCGACTTTCACTTAGGTCATGATCTCGCGGTTAGTGGGTTCGAGCCCCGCGTCGGGCTCTGTGCTGACTGACAGCTCAGAGCCTGGAGCCTATTTCAGAGTCTGTGACTCCCTCTCTCTCTCACCCTCCCCTGCTCACGCTGTCTCTCTCTCTCTCCTAGAAATAAATATATTTAAAAAAATTAAATTTAACCAACAAGGCTCATCAGGAAAAAAAAACCTCTGCATGGTCATTTCTAAACTTTATGCAAAACACCTTGGCATCTACATTTTTTCTTTTTCTTTCTCTTCTTCTTTTTTTTTTTTAACAAAACATTTTGAAAATCAGAAAAGGCGGCACTTCTCGCGTTTCCTGCCTCCAAGGAGAAGGGCATAGAATTTCGAAGAAGACCCCACTTACCCATGTCTTGCGCAGTTTCGGGACCTAAAAAGCAGGCGAACGTGAGAAAGTGGAGACGGGGAAGCACAGGGATGACAGCTCTCGGCCCAGGCCGCATTGAGACCCAGAGGGCGCGCTCTCCCCGGCCAGGAGCCGCGCGCTGTCCCGCACCACCGAACCACCCCGCCCGTGGGCGGCGGAGGTGGGCGAGGCGGGGATGCGGTGGGCGGGGCCTGGCGGGGTGGGGCCGGGGGCGTGGCGGGCGGGCGGGAGGCCTGGAGCCGGGCGGCGCGGTCCGCCAGCGCGGCGAGCGCAGCGCGGGCCCCGGCCAGTGCGCGGCGGGCTTGGGGTGCCGCGCGGTAGCGCACCCTCCTGCGCCCCGGCGGCCGGCTCGCTGCAGGTAACCGACTCCGCCGCCGCCCCCCGCTCTATCCCAGCACCCTGGATCCCCTGCTATGGCGCCCGGAGGCGGATGGAGGGATAGAAAGGATGTGAGGGAGGGAGGGAGGCTCTCAGCCTCTCGGGAAGAGGAAGCGGAGCCCCAGCGGGAGGGAGCGGACGCGCGGTGGTAGCAAGCCCGGCGCGTGTGCACGCAGGACGCCTGCCCTGCGCGTTACCCCTGGTCCGATCCGTGGAACCTGGGGCCGGGGCTCCGGTGCCCAGTGTCACCTGGAAGCCACTTTTTTCTGTCTCTTTTCCCCCCGACCCGGGTAGCAGGTAGGAGCTGAGAAATCAGAGGAGTTGGCTGCAGGCGAGGGTAGGCAGAGAGCGAGCAGTTAACTCGCTGCCGTCCCTTGGGTGCCAGCAGCTCTAACTCGATTTAATCCTCCCCGTAGCCCCGCGAAGAGGCATTTTACCCCCTCCCCCATTTTACTGATGAAGATGAGAAATGAGTCGCCCTGGGGCAAGCCACTGGACAGGAGACGCCAGTCGGGGACTCCGGAGCCCCCACGCCTCTCCCTCTCCTCCGGCTAGCTCTCTGTCCTTCGCGCGCGGGTCTGGGAAACTCGCGCCGCTGGGTCTGTTAGGAAAACAGGTGATTCTGAAACACATTCTCTCCTCCCTCCTAGGTTTTTTGGGGGGAGGGGATTGTTTTGTTTTGTGTTTTGTTAACACCCAATTTCTGATTCAGTTTCTAATTCTGGTTATGAGCCGTTTGAAGTGGAAGCAGCCTCGCTCACAGTGACTTTTTCTTCTTGCAGCGCTTTCCTTCGGTGCAGAACGAGCCCCAGGCACCCCGGCGGGCCGCACACTTCTCTTCCCCGGTGGATGAGGTCGTCTGCAGATCCAGGCTGGGCCTTATGGGCCGCCCAGGTGGAGGTGAGCTCTGTAGGCACCTGGCAGTCTTGGCGCCCTTTGCTTTTTTCTAGAGGGAAGGGAGTCTTCATTTCACAAATAGGAAGCCAAGAGGCCAACTTGGAAGTATATGAGGGGTTCACAGAAAGCAGTGGTTCGTTGAGAACAGCCTACGGGTTTCTGTGGCCTGAATTTGGTGAGTGGTAGGTGAGGCACCCTGCCGGGGACTAGTCCCCTGCTCTGGGCATTCTGTCCCCCTTTCAGAGCTGTTGTGAAAGGCAGATTTGTTTTAGAAGGGAGGGGGAGGGGCGAATGGTTTTAGAGATCCGTGTAAATTACCTGCTAGGAGCCCAGGCAGTTCCAGACAGGCTCTCCTGCCGAGAATATGGTAACAGATTTCACTTCTGGCAAAAAGAAAAAATAACCACTGAGCTCTGTGGATATCTGCTCTTGCCTAATGGACGTTCCCCGCACGTTCAAGATGATAGTTTTGGGGAGGCTTTGAGTTCTTAGAAATGGCTAACTCCTCAATTTTAAAAAACAATGGAACAAACTGTGAGTTTACTTTCATACCGTTGTAATTGGTAGGTGGAAGAAGTTGGTTTTTCCATTGCATGGTGAGGGTTTGAAGGTTGCGTTCCAGTTTGTTCTTCACTGGCTCTGGCAAGGACCTCCTTAGCCTGGGCCCCAAATCTGTACTGGGTTTCATCCTTCATTGACTATAATCCATCCTTGCCTGATTATAAGACTACTTCTAACCACAAGTTGCTTTTTTTCCCCACTTGTAACTTAGTCGCTTAACACTTAAGAAAAATGTTGTCCCTGAGAACTATCCACTGTCTAAAAAACCAGCTATGCACAGGGACTGAACACACAATGGACGGGGAAGCTAAGGGGGCTCTGGTTAGTCACGGGTGACCTACAGAGGACCTGCGGGAGAAAAAAAAATCCGTGTGGGGACTGACTATTCCCTGCCCATAACCATGCAGGAATTCTGGCCCACTGTGGCCAGATCTTTCCCCCACCCCTAAATAGCTAGAAAATCTTCATTAAAAAAATTTTTTTAAACGTTTGTTTATTTTTGAGAGACAGAGTGGGGAGGAGCAGACAGAGGGAGACAAAGAATCCTAAGCAGGCTCCAGGCTCTGAGCTGTCAGCACAGAGCCCCACGCAGGGCTCCAACCCATGAACGGTGAGATCATGACCTGAGCCGAAGTCAGATGCTTAACTGACTGAGCCATCCAGGCACCCCAAGTAAAACCTAATTTAAATATTGGCTTTTTTTTCTTTTTTCTTTTTTTTTTTTTATTTTTATTTTTATTTTTTTTCTAGGAGAGAGAGAGAGACAGCGTGAGCAGGGGAGGGTCAGAGAGAGAGGGAGTCACAGATTGAAAGAAGCTCCAGGCTCTGAGCTGGCAGTCAGCACAGAGCCCGACGCGGGGCTCGAACCCACGAACCGTGAGATCATGACCTAAGTGAAAGTCGGACGCTTAACCGACTAAGCCACCCAGGCGCCCCTTTTTTTTCTTTTTTAAAACACAGGAAATCAAATCAAATTTGAGCATCATTCATTGTCAGATCTGTCTTAAAAACTGCTCTCCCTGAGGATTGCATTCTCGGGTGAATGAAACACTCTGACCTAAGATGTAGGTATTGCCCATTTGTTGCAGAGTGAGGTGGTACGAAACAGATGACTAGCGTTGAAAACGATTTCTTCTGATTCTGTGTCTGTTTTTTAAGTGCTGTTTTCTAAACAGTGCTTCAGCTGCAACTGAGTTAAGGAGTCTTTTATGGGCCAAACAAGGAATTGTGTCACTACTTGTAAGAGTCATTCTAATGAAAATTTATTCATGGTTCTAGTTCAGAATGTCAAATGCTTAACTCCCCGACTTACAAGAGGGACTTACAAGAGGAGTTCGCAAATGACTATTCATATACATCTGGTGGGTTTCTCACGGGGCCTATCTGTATTCTTTTTTTTTTTTCTTAATGTTTATTTTTGAGAGAGAGAGACAGAAAAAGGGGGTGGGTGGGGAAGGAAGGGGGCAGAGAGAGAGGGAGACACAGAATCCGAAGCAGGCTCCAGGCCCTGTGTGCTCAGCACAGAACCCTAGGTGGGGCTTGAACTCATGGACTATGAGATGGTGACCTGCGCCGCGTCTGAAGCTTAACCAACCGAGCCAGGCAGGTGCCCCGCCTATCTGTGTGCTTAGCCACATTGGCTTTGGATGCCTGGCTTAGGGCAGTCGGGCTTCCTTGCTGCCCATCTGTGGCCAATGCTACGTCTGTTTAGAACAGTGTTTCTCAAATTTGACATTTTTGGCCAGTTAAGCTTCTGTCGTGGAGATTGTCCTGTGCGTCGGAGCAGCGGCATCCCTGTACCACCCACTGGATGCCAGCAGGCTCCTCCCTACGGTTACCACCATCTGAGTGTCTCCAGGTGTTGCCCCATGCCGCCTGGAGGGCAGTTACCTGGTTGAGGAAAAGAAGAAGCCAATGTTGGAAAGGCTCTGGACATATTTGAACTAAACTATAAATACAATTAACTGAAACTTCGAGAGAGGCTCTTTGTAATGTTTAAACACACAACTGCATTTTAAAATATTTTTATGAGAAAGGTGACTAAGCCAGTGTTCTCCGTGAGCAGCCTCCTGTGTCCAGCCAGGATTTATCTCCAAGGAAATTGCCAGTGTTTGGTGCAGTTGTTAAGTTTCTAAAGTTTATAATATTGAAAGCTAAAATGGAGCCCCACAGGCTTCATTTTTCTCCTTTTAGTATACTTGATTTTTTTTTTTTAAAGTTTATTTATTTTGAGAAGAGAGAGCACAAGCAAGAGCAGGTGAGGGGCAGAGAGAGAGGAAGAGAGACGATCCCACGCAGGGTCCACACCATCAGCGTGACGCCGGAATCGCGGGGCTCAAAATTAACTAACTGAGATCGTGACCTGAGCTGAAATCAAGAGTTGGACGCTTAACCTACTGAGCCCCCCAGGCCCCCTATGTCTTTTAATTTTTGTAAGGTGATACAATGTCAATGAGCTATGCTTGTTGATTTAGAAATTGACACAGTCTCTAATAGCAAAAATTTTAATAATGAGGTTTACTGTAGATCATGTTCAGAGTAGAATTTAGTTTTAGGAAACATTAAAAGCGTTTAGCTAACAGCAATAACTAAGACAATCATATATTTCTGGATTCTGAGAAATTCTTTTTTTTTTTAATGTTCATTTTTGAGACAGAGCATGAGCAGAGGAGGGGCAGAGAGAGAGAGGGAAACACAAAGTCTGAAGGAGGCTCCAGGCTCTGAGCTGTCAACACAGCTGGACTTGGGACTTGAATCCTGAGCTGCGAGATCATGACCTGAGCCAAAGTTGGACGCTTCGCTGTCTGAGCCATTCAGGCACCCCTGTAGTCCAAGAAACTCTAATTTTTATGGAAGAGAGCCCTACATAATACATGATATAATTCATATCAGAGGAAAGAAACGTCCTAAATATATAATTCTCTTTTTTTAGACCTTAAGTTCAAGAGGTTGAAGACACAGTCCAGGTTATAAAAGATGCATCCTTAGATAGGGATTGACTATCCACTGGGTCCCTTCTAGAAATCAAACTAATTTGTGAGACTGGGGATCGGCTACATAATTTGTGGGCTCCTGTGTTTAAAAATTATTAAGAATATCAAGACAGCAGGGCACCTGGCTGGCTCAGTTGGAAAAACGTGTAACTCTTGATCTTCAGGTCATGAGTTCGAGTCCCACATTGCCTATAGAGATTACTTAAATAAGTAAATCTTTTTTAAAAAAATAGAGTCAATAGAAGTGGCAAAAAATATATAGAATATCAAGATGGTAGCAGAGAGCTGAGTATTAAGAGAAGTACAGGGCCCTGTGTGGCTATACAGGTTGCATACGCATGAAGCTGGCCCTGGCTCTCTGTCCATCACAAATGCAAATCCAAAGGAAATATTACCGCTGCCCCAAAGCACTGAGAGTCTCTGATTGATTGATTGTACTATTTCCAATAAGGAGCCTACATGTATTTGGTAATCCAGACACTGAATTTACTATAAAGGGGCACCTGTCTGACTCAGTCGGAAGAACACGGAACTCTTGATTTCTGGATCAGTGGAGGCCCACATTGGGTGTAGAAAATACTAAAAAATAAATAAATAGACTTAAGAAAGAATAAAAAAGTTACCAGGAAACTCTTTCCGTGAATAATTTTTCTTTTGTTCAAGAGTCAGCCAGATTGTTTTGGAGGGTCCTGGGTACCTGAGTAACCTTATTTCTTCAAGCGTTCATTGAACAGCTCCTTACAGAGCACCTGTGGGTGACAGGCATTATCGGCTCTGGGGCAATGGCTGTGAAGGACAGAGGGTCCCTGCATTTTTCAGCCTTCTAGGTTACTGGCTGGGGGGATGGGTAGAGACAGGCACACAGTGTCATGCACTGTCACAGCCCTAAATGGTACTCCGGAAAAGCACAAGCGGTCCAGAGGAAATATAACCTCAGGACACAGGGCAGGTCTCCCTAGAAAGTGGTATTTAAAATGGGCCTGAAAAATGAGTCGGAAGGAGTCAGGCGAATTAGGGGCCTGAGTTCCATGCTGAAAGGGTGAGACGGAGGCAGGAATATGGCTTTGGGTCATTTTCAGGACTTTGGACTTTAATGGAAAGGTAATGGGAACCTTTTGAAGGGCATTAAATGGGAGATGAGATGATTGATTAAGTTTGGGTTTTTGTTTTTTTTTTTTTAATCATCATCATTGCTGTGGACAGTGGTTTGCAGAGCAGGCCGTGCTGGGGCCTGTGGTCCCGTCGCGCAAAGTGGAAAAGGCTTTCTCTTTTGGGTGGACCAGATGCACCTCTTTGTCCCAGCCAGGCCGGGCTGGAGGCCTCAGGCCCTTTGCCTGTCACTTTGCACATATGCACGCAGCCACCTGGAGAGGGGCAGAGTAGGCTCCAGGCATAGTTGGGGAGCCTTTTGCCTTCAGCCGTCAGCCGTCAGCCGTCAGCCGTCAGCCA